GGAGGCTGTTGGTTTATGGAGGGGCAAAGTATTCCTAAGTCTGGGGCGGACTAAAGGAAAGGCTCGCTCCCCTCTTGTTTTAAGACTCTATTAGCTGTAGATGGTCCTCAGGACTCAGAGCACGTGCCGGAGACCAACAGGCCATAATGAAAATGAGCTTAAAGGTGCAGTAGCAGGTATTTTCCAACATATTTTTACCATGAGACCTCGGTGAACATCACGGCACCCAGAGCACGAGTCTATGGTTGATCATCCAGTGCTCAGCCTTTAGATCAAAGTCTCATTAAATGTCAATGGATTCTCCTCTGTTCCTCCGTGTCAGTCTTCACTGTGTTGCACCACGAAGGTTAACCTGAATGTTTCATGTTAACCTGAATGTTTCATGTTAACCTGAATGTTTCATGTTAACCTGAATGTTTCATGTTTAGGGGTTTGTGAGCGCCAGAGGAAATCTGAACTTCACTTTGGCGTCTGGATGTGTTGGGCTGGATAAGATCGCCAAACCTCCGCCTGCTCCTCCAGGATCTGCTTCATCTCAGAACATTGCTGGCCTTCTCTTCGTCTTTGGGATTTTCTTGGCAGTTGTTTTTGTTTGTTACTTCAAACAGTGGTTCAGAAACCAAAGACTTTGTTGGCGTTAGAATGAAAAACTCTCCTCCTAATGCAGGATGTATAAAATAATCACTGCAAAAAATTGAAATCTAAATAAGTAATTTTTTCCTAAACCAAGTGCATTTGTTCTTGAATTGAGGAGGTAAGTGAGACACTTTGCCAATGGAAAAAGACAATTTACATTTAAAATAGGAAAACGCGTCTGAATTGTCTTATTACAAGTGCATTTTATCTAATTATCTTATTTTAAGGGTAAAAATACTCATTCCATTGGCAAATCATCCCATTTACCTACTAAAATTAAGGCAAAATACACTTGATTTAAGGATTTTTTTCTTATTTTTAGATTGTTTTTGCAGTGATCTAACTACTGATTTCTGCTGTATTAGTTTTTCTGTCGTTAATAAATGTTTTCTGGATACAAATACTCAGTCTTTTGGGTTATAACCACTAAGGAGGCTTTCATCTGAATGTTGTCTTCCTGCACAGTAAAAATCGAGTGTTACTTTAACACCAGCAGAGTTGAATATAACTCTGTCTCCAATAATCTTTGGTTTATCTCCAAATGAGTGTAAAATTTACTCTAAAGTCAGTGTCAGAGATACTTTTACTCATGTTAGTGTCAAAATCAACAACACCTCACAGACTGGTGGGAATATACGGAGGAGTATTAGGGCCAGATTACAGATATTTAAAAAGATATGAGAATAAAGTCCTAACATTATGAGAATAATGTTGTAATATTACGAAAATAAAGTTATAATATAAGAAGAATAAAGTCACAACATTATGAGAATAAAGTCGTAGCAATATGAAAATAAAAACGTTATATTACAAGAATTTATTTGTACACTGAAAAAAAAAATCCAAATCTAGATAAGTCATTTTTTCCTAAAATAAGTGCATTTGTTCTTGGATTGAGGAGATAAAAGAGACATTTTGCCAATGGAACAAGACAACTTCCACTTTAAATAAGAAAGTGGAAGTTATTTCAAGTGCATATTATCTAATTGTCTTATTTTAAGAGTAGAAATACTCACTCCATTGGCAAACTATCTAATTTACCTACTCACATTGAGGGTAAATAAACTTAATTTAGGAAGTTTTAACTTATTTCTAGATTGTTTTTCCAGTGACTAGAATAAAGTCACAAAATTCTGAGAATAAATTCGTAATATTAAGGTAAATATAATTCAGCCAGAATTAGTCACAACACAGGTCTAGTCAGTGAGCAGTGGGTAGCACTGCTGCCTTGCAGCAAGAAGGTTCCAGGTTCGATTCCCAGACCGAGCTCTTTCTGCATGGAGTTTGCATGTTCTCCCTTAGCATGCATGGGTTCTCTCCAGGTACTCCGGCTTCCTCCCACAGTCCAAAAACATGACTGTTGGGTTAATTGGCGTTGCTAAATTCTCTTCGGGTGTGAGTGTGTGTGAATGGATGTTTGTTCTGTGTGTCTCTCTGTTGCCCTGCGATGGACTGATTCAATCAGCCAAATACGATAGTTATGCTTAATTTATTAAGCACTGATATATTGACAGTAAAATAAAGTGCATTTGGATCAATGCACTTCAAATATCACAAAAATCATAAATGTGCTCTGTTTTCTTGGACAATATAGGCAGCTTATAGAAATGTGCAAAAGAAACTTAGCAAAGATTTATCTTCAGGTTTTTAAACGTAGAAAAAGAAAGCATACCGGGAGTGACGCTCCCCACCCGTCTCTAGCTTATTAATGTGCTCAAACGTCTGATTTTAGGGGACTTTTCTGCATAATTTGTCTCACCTGCACTTCCTCCCTATAAACAGTAATAGCACGATGTAATAACGCCCCCTTTGGGTTGGGAGGTATATCGATATTAAAAGCCAGAATATTGATGTTAAATTGTTTTTTAAAACCACTGATTTTAATCTTTGTATCGACTTTTATGCACAGAATTATCCAGAATGTTCTCAGAAAATAATCGTCAGCCAGAACATTCAAGAGAACAACTCACCAATGGTTTCTTAACCAATGGGTTACATAACTTTAAACTAAAGAGAAGTGTTTCCATCAGCATGCGGATATCGGAGCTTATTTCCGGCCTGCAAGATTCCTGCTGGTGATCCAGAAGATACGTTTCCTGGTCTGTACTGTTGCCTGCGGACCTCTGCACCTCCAGGAGTGATCAGATGCTGCTGCCATGATCCACAGCTGCAGGAAGCAGCCTGCAGCAAACATTTACTGATAAAGCTTGGATACCATGGAAACAAGACAGACTGCCTTTGGTAAGCCTTTGGTTTGAAGGAGTGTTTTGGTCAGAAATACTCTGCATTAGTGCCTCCATGGCTGCTTTAGAGCTTGGAGAAGCTTAAAGTAAAATATTTGGATCAAGGATGAATAAAAACTAACCATTCTATCAGAAAGAAACTCTGACCAAACAGTGACCTCTACTGGCCGGGTTCTGCAGGATCCTTAGAAGCACCAATTCATGTCTGATTCACTTAGTTTCTTTGATCCCATCCAAACCAGAGAAATTTCTGGATCTGTGAGAAGATGCTGATGTGAAGGATGAAATTATTATTTTACTTTTTATTTTTTTTAGAGTTGGATGGAACCAGCTTTTCAGTCAACATACAGATGACACAGATTTTCCAGACGTCTCCTGGATGCAGAGCCACTCCTTTAGATCATGAAAATTAAAACTAACCAAAGAGGAAAAAACAACTTTATACTCTCAGCTGCTTGTTAGATCTAAAAAAAAAAAAAAAAAAGACAAAAAAAGGTATGTCTACAGGTTTATGTCGCCTAAAAGTGCCTTGAGATGACGTGTGTTGTGAATCGGCGCTATATAAATAAACTGAATTGAATTGTTTTGGCCTGATGGTACGACAGAATATTGGGGCCAGGCTAGATTTATATTACGAGAATAAAGTCGTAATATTACGAGAATAAAGTCGTAATATTACGAGAATAAAGTCGTAATATTACAAGAAACAAGTTGTATTTTATGACAACTCTTACCAGAAGCCCTTCCTTCCCTAAAATGAGGAATATGGAGCATCATTCTCGTAATGTTACGACTTTATTTTCTAGCCTAAAACGCCATCGTATGATGGTTATTTGTCACTCCTTGAGATCTAAATCAGATTTTTATCTGGATTTTCTTTACTCGGCAGTGATGGCTAACATGGTGGACAGGGTTTAACAGGTTTGCCTCCAAATCCCAGAACATCAACTGTTGCCAGGTCCACACCCCCTCCCCCTATGCCGGATTGTTCCTAGCAGGAAAGACACCAAAGTTCCTTTAACTGATGTTTACTGTGGTCTTTTATATTTGTTTACACCAACGACGAAACCAAAGTTGGCTTCCAATACTATCGATTCAGGAAATGAATAAAGGGAGATTTCATTTAATTTTTATTCTCAGAATATGAGCTCAGTCTGCTCCTGACACACTTCAAGATTCAATTAGAAATCAAAACAAACATTTCTTTAACATCTCTACAGTTTTATTGGCAAGATGCATTATAGCATTAGAACATGTGTGCAAAGCAAACAGCTGTAGCTCGGTGGTTATAATCAGGTCAAAAGACGCAGCAAAGCTCTGGAGGTTTTTTTAATCTTGCTGGTTAATGGGATCAGAAGCTAACCTTTGACCCTGGAACATGCATATCTTTCAAAGCAAAGACCGCTGGAAGCTTCCTCTGGATTATGTGGTTAAATAGCAGGACACATTTAATGAATGAAATCCTGTAATACACCTGAACTAAAGCAGGACAGAATGTTCTCCCTTCTGGATCATGGGTTAAAAGATGGAAACTCGTCACCAAAAACAGCCTTGAACATCTGGAAAAATGGCGACCTTCTCAGGTTGCTCCATTCTCTGAAGGTCTCTGTGGAAACGGTCATGCCGGTGTTGTCGGCAGTGTAGGCGTACTGCCATTTCAGATACTCTTCCTGCATTGGGGTTCCGCGGGGCGATTTTCCCAGGCAGGCAGCCAGATGGACGGTGGCTTCACACCCCGAGAAAAACAGCACCAGAGACGCGGCCAATGTGACGACAAAGAAGGGGACTTTGCCGATCCAGGGGGCGAGGTACGGGACGAGGTACCGGTTGGCTCCTGGTGCACCAAACACATTTTCTAAAGCAATGAAAGATGCAAAAGCCATATCATTTGGTGTTCCTACAGGCCCCACCATGATTTTAGGGACAGGTTGAAATCCGGTATTCCTCATCGAGTTCCAGCTGTTCGGCAGATTGAACGTTACATGGGCTTCAGGAGGAATTCGACACTCATTTGGCCTGCCGCACCCAAACAGCCTGTGTCCAGGCAGGATGTCTCCTGTAGCGATGCTATAGGCCGCTTCAGGAAACAGGAGGCAGTTCCAGGGAGAGTAAAGCAGGACGTCTGTGATGGACATCAGGGGCACCAAACATATGGCAGGTATCATGCAGTTCTCAATCTCTCCATGAGCCAAGAAGACCAGGTCAATCTTCTTATTCTCCCGATCCTTCTCCTTTTTCTTCTGCCACTCCTCATCCAGCCTTTTTTGGATGAAGACAAAAACATTCACCAGATGGGAGAACTCTTGAGACTTTGCGTTCTGGGCCAGCCACTCTTTGACTACAGAATCTGGGGCGTTTTTAATTGCATGATCAATTAACTCTTCCATCTCACTTTGGCTCCGGTTCGTGTTCTCGATGATGGACTTTATTCTCTTCAACTTCTGAAGAGCTTTTCTGAAAGATTGAAATGCGTTAAATGTTTAGCAAGTGTTCTTTATATCCATCATTGCACTTCTATTCTTTATACTTTGGTGGCAAAAAAAGTAATTCAAAATAATTCACACATATGTATTTTCCTATTTTTGGTTGATAAATTTAACAATTTGAAATTTCAACAAAAGAAACATCCAACCATTTTAACCATTTAAATCCCAGTTTAGAATCAACATGTTTATTATAAAACTATGGTAAAATATATATAGATCTTCTATTCTGCAATAAGATAAAGGTTTAGAGGCTAATTTCATTAGCAACAGCAATTTGCATGCAACAGCAATCTGGGGCATTTGTTCTACTGGTTAAGCCCCCGTCACACCTCGTCGATTTAGCCAGCGTAGGCCTGACATCCCAGAATCTTCTAAAACACTGAACTTTCTAAGTATTTTTTCCATTCATAACAGGTTCAGAACTTTATGTCCAGCGACAGCCTAACTTATGCATAACGCACGGCAGCGTAATGTCCATGAAATGTCACAAGACAGTGTCCTGAGGGGGGCAGCAAAGCGCCCAAAGGTGCCCGGCCTGCATAGAAAAATTTATTTAATGACGATATCAACCTAGCTGCTGTTTACCGTCCGTTCCTAGCGCCATGTCTGCTAGGAAGTTTGCTAAACATGGGCATAAATGCAGGGAGGATCCATCACACTCACTTTCATGCTTACCCTAAGATGGGGGTGAAGTCTGGAGGAGCACAGACTGTTTCCTTTTAGACCAAAACGCTGCCAATACGCCATTATACAGAAGCTATAAGTTAGAAACACGTTCAGCACTTCTCTGGATTACATCAGATACGTTGATATGCATTGGAGAGAAGTTCTGATAAGTTCCACACAAGTTATGCACAAGTTACTCAGAGGTTTAGCATAGGCTAGACGCCACGACTTATCAGTAACTGACAGTGAACGTACACTCACCGGACACTTTAGTAGGTACACCTGTCCAACTGCTCGTTAACACTTAATTTCTAAGCAGCCAATCACATGGCGGCAACTCAGTGCATTTAGGCATGTAGACATGGTCAAGACAATCTCCTGCAGTTCAAACCGAGCATCAGTATGGGGAAGAAAGGTGATTTGAGTGACTTTGAACGTGGCATGATTGTTGGTGCCAGAAGGGCTGGTCTGAATATTTCAGAAACTGCTGATCTACTGGGATTTTCACGCACAACCATCTCTAGGGTTTACAGAGAATGGTCCGAAAAAGAAAAAACATCCAGTGAGCGGCAGTTCTGTGGGCGGAAATGCCTTGTTGATGCCAGAGGTCAGAGGAGAATGGCCAGACTGGTTGGAGCTGATAGAAGGGCAACAGTGACTCAAATAACCACCCGTTACAACCAAGGTGGGCAGAAGAGCATCTCTGAACGCACAATACGTCGAACTTTGAGGCAGATGGGCTACAGCAGCAGAAGACCACACCGGGTGCCACTCCTTTCAGCTAAGAACAGGAAACTGAGGCTACAATTTGCACAAGCTCATCGAAATTGGACAATAGAAGATTGGAAAAACGTTGCCTGGTCTGATGAGTCTCGATTTCTGCTGCGACATTCGGATGGTAGGGTCAGAATTTGGCGTCTACAACATGAAAGCATGGATCCATCCTGCCTTGTATCAACGGTTCAGGCTGGTGGTGGTGGTGTCATGGTGTGGGGAATATTTTCTTGGCACTCTTTGGGCCCCTTGGTACCAATTGAGCATCGTTGCAACGCCACAGCCTACCTGAGTATTGTTGCTGACCATGTCCATCCCTTTATGACCACAATGTACCCAACTTCTGATGGCTACTTTCAGCAGGATAATGCACCATGTCATAAAGCTGGAATCATCTCAGACTGGTTTCTTGAACATGACAATGAGTTCACTGTACTCAAATGGCCTCCACAGTCACCAGATCTCAATCCAATAGAGCATCTTTGGGATGTGGTGGAACGGGAGATTCGCATCATGGATGTGCAGCCGACAAATCTGCGGCAACTGTGTGATGCCATCATGTCAATATGGACCAAACCCCCTGAGGAATGCTTCCAGCACCTTGTTGAATCTATGCCACGAAGAATTGAGGCAGTTCTGAAGGCAAAGGGGGGTCCAACCCGTTACTAGCATGGGGTACCTAATAAAGTGGCCAGTGAGTGTATGTCAACCATCAGATAACTGACCTGTAACATTCGCCGTATGTTGACATGTGCTAGCGTGTTTTAGCGAGCTTCAGGGTACTTTAGCGTGCTCATAACTTATACAAGACTAACCCATAACTTATCCAACGTATGCCAGGCAGGTTTTTCCTTTCAGGCAAACGCTTGTTAAATCGACAAGTGTGACAGGTGCTTTAGATAGAAGTTAATGAGACATGTTGGCCACTAAGGTTTTATTTAAGCATTACTGGTGCAGTCAAATAATTTTTCTTTCAAATGGTTGACATAAGCTCATAATTTTTTTGGTAGCAATCACAACAACACAAATCTTTGGAGAGCTCCGGTAGTGTGGACTCTCCCTGGGCATGGTGTCTCTTAGGAGTGAAGTTTTTTAAATGATTAAATTAATAAAGAACTAGTTTCCCAAATTACTTAATGCTTGGTGGTTTTCAATGGTTTTGAACTTTATAACCGAAGAAGAAATTACGAAAAGGTAAAAAAAGATGTATGATTTTCATTCGGATGTTTGAATGTGGATCATAAACATTTAGAGTTGGTTTAAAGACTTGAAAACAGTTAAACAAGCTGAATAAGTTTCAGTCCAACTTCTGATTTAAGTCTAAAAAGACCATGTGTTGCATGCTGTCATCTTCCTTACCTGATTTCCTCAATCTCTTCCTCCGTCTCGATAGCAGAGGTCTTTATGGTCTTGGCATTCTCCCTCAGGGTTCTACTGGCTTCTGTCTCGATGTTGTCGATGTTCTGACAGTCATTAACCAGCTCAGGAACAGAGAACAAGAGCCCAACTGCTCCGCCTGCAACCTGAATAACACACAAATAACAGGTTAAATATCTCAGGTTTTGGCTCTAACGGTGCATTCACATCAAGCATGATTCAAATCCAGTTAATAATTTCCACTTTTTTGAACACTTAAGTCTTATTTTCTCTCATCCAAATAGCAAACCTACAACAAAAAGGCTTTTTGTTCATAACTGTGAATCGTCCACCAGGTCCTTACTCTGAATTTTGGATGAATTCCTCTAGATCTGTTGAGTGCTGACATGGTCATGATAGTAGGGGATTTTAAAATCCATGCTGTCATTGAAGGTGATAGCTTAAATTCAGCTTTTAATGCTATCTTAGACTCGATTGGCTTGTTTCAAAATGTGAATAGTCCCACACATTCTCATCATCATACCTTGGACCTTGTGCTATCATATGGCATTGAAATAACAGTATGTCCTTACAACCCTGCCCTCTCTGACTACTTTTTAAAAACCTCTAAGATTACTTTAACAGAATTCTCCTCCCCCCAAAAGAAGGTTTCACTTTATTTATTAAATTATAAATGTTAAAGAATCTTTTCTACTTTCCTTCTCCTCAGTTTACTGAACAATACTGCAGTTGATTCAACCCCCTCCAAAAATTTATGATTTGTTGATGGGGTTACTATTTCCCTACATACTCCCATAGACAACGTAGCCTCCTTGACAAAGAAAAAAATTGAAAAGCTGGCTGCCAGGCCCTTTTATTCATTAAGCATTTAAATCGTATCCATCTGGCAGATTTCAGTTTGTTTGCATTCATTTTTAAATCTTCCTCATGCTCAAAGGTTACCTGTGGAGTACCACAGGGATCAGTGCTAGGACCAATTCTCTTTACTTTATACATGCTCTCAATCAGTAGAGTTATTAGACAGCATGGGATTAATTTCCACTGTTATGCTGATGATACCCAGCTATATCTGTCTATAATCCAGATGAAGCTAACCCATTACATAGATTACAGGCATGTCTGAAGACATAAAAACCTGGATGACTCTTAACTTTCTGCTTCTGAATGCAGACAAAACAGAAGTTAGAGTCTTTGGACCAGAAGCTGATTAGTCAGTCACTTCATTTGGATGGGATTAAACTGATTTCAGATAATAAAGTAAAAAATCTTGGTGTTATTTTTGATCAGGACCTGTCATTTAAATCCCAGATCAAAGAGGTTTCTAGAATTTCCTTCTTTCATCCGAGGAATATTGCAAAAATGAGAAATCTCCTGTCCAGGGGTGATGCTGAGAAACTAGTCCATGCATTTGTTACTTCAAGGCTGGACTATTGTAATTCTTTACTATCAGGAAGTCCACAAACTGTAGTTAAAAGCCTTCAGCTGATCCAAAATGCTGCAGCCCGAGTTGCATAAAGATAGCGGAAAGAAATCAATCCTCAACCCTCATCGGCAATTCAGTTTCCATGTGTTCTAAGGCATAACAAGGCTTTTGTTTGGGCTATTTTATAAAGCCTGGAACTCAACGCTACTCCAAACATTTTTAAATGAAAAAGCTTCCTGGATGGGAAGCAAACATCTTCATATTTGGAAAACAAGTCCAGTGGATTGTTGTTTTTTTTACTTTTTGAAAAGACTATGACCTGGATGACTGAGAATTTTCACCAGCATATGGAAACTACTTTGTTATGAGTAATATTATCAATATTATGTTTATCAGCCAGGAGTCCATGTCATAACCATCACTGACTGGTGTGATCTTACTTACACATCCAGCAGCTCTTGACGCTGCTTTTTTTCCGACAGACGAAGCAACCTTTTTGCCTCCTTCTCGAGCCGCCAAGAGCAGAGCTTGTATAATGATTGTTGCACTTGCTGCCAGCAGAACTTCATTGGTCAGGATTCGCCTGTTGATGTTCGACCTTGGTAAGCGACAAACTTTTCTGATCATTCCACTGCGGGGGAGAATTAGTCCCTGTCGACCTGCCTCCGATCTCAGGAACATCTCCGTAATGTCGTCGTCGTCATCATCATCATCATCACAGGAACTGGAGGCTCGTTCTTTCAGTGACTTTAGAGGCTTCATCAGGTCTTTTATTTCTTGTTCCAGACTCTGTAATTGTTCCAGCAGCTTTTTGGCTTCCTCCATTATGCTGTTAGACTTGGTGGTGCTGTAAGTCTCAGAACCAACTGTTGTCAACAAACTGGCCCCTGAAGCCACTGCTCCAACTGCCCCTACTGTAGCAAGAACAGGCAATGCTAATCCACCGGTGAAAACTGTTAACAGTCCCACCGCGGTCATTGTAGCTGCTCCTCCTACTGACACTGAGCTGCCAACAACTTTGGTCACGTTGGCAGCCTTCACAACTTCTTCCAGCTCATCCGCCAGTTTGACCAACTTAGTGGCACAGTTCTTCTGTAGACGCACCCATTCATTGATTTTGGTAACAAGGACATCTGCTCCATCCATGATGTGACCTTGGAAATTGCAGAAGATCTGCAAAAAGAACAACAAACTGTTACAGAGCAAGACCAACCTTTTATACACCGTCTCCACATCTTTCATTCGTTCCTTCTCTGCGCTTGTTTGAACTCTTTTCCTCTGAACTTTATTCCTTTATTCCAAATTCTATGGAAAAGTTGGACTAAGACTGTTTATTACTAGTGGTTCCCAGGGATTATTATTTCTCTAAATGATTTCGCCATGGTTCTATAGCAGAGGACATGGATTAGAGGACCGGGGTCCGCATCCAGACCCACCTGCTGGCCAATCAGGACCAAACCTGATTTAAAACATTTATAAATTACTGCATGTTGTCTAAGGACAGTGTCTAAATTCACTTGC